CCTTAATTGCATATCCATCTCATGTTACTAATTTAGTTAATTTATTCATAATTAAGAGTATTCTGTTTTCTACCAAGGTTTGTCGAGCTCAGAACATTATAAAGAAAAATATTTTAAGGCAGCATCTCTGAGGGATTTTGTTTCTTATAATCTCATCACAGTAAAATGTCATTCATGTGCCCAAAGGAAGATGAATTGCTAAGGGATTTTTTTCCAGTAAAATAAGAAGCTATGGGAAGCTGCAGTGTTGTTTTTAAACCAAGTTAAACGCGATGCACTTTGTTCTTTTCTTTCTCCTTCCCTGACATCTTCTCAAAAAAATTATCATTTGATTTGGATTATTGTTTAAGTATCACAGCAAATCCAGTCAGCAGTGCAGATAAAACTGTCATTACCCTGTCAGGTAATGGTGTCTCTTAACACCCAAGCTATAAAATCTGTACATTTTAGAGGACATTAAGATCAAGAATTTTAAAATTGCCTAAGTCTAAGCAAGTGGAATACAGTCTCGTGGAAAATGGAAGGCAGGTGAAAACATGATACCAGGTAGTTAATTCATCTTAGTTTGATCTTTTCTAGAAGAATACCTATATCCTTGCAGCACGAGTCTTGCCTGTGTTAATACATGTTTCTGTGTGTCATTAAAAGCAGCAATCACAAAAAATTAAAACTGTTTCTCACTTTGTTTCTTGTTCAGGATCTCCTACCTATAGCCTCGACCTATCTTTGAACTTAACAAAACAGTCTTATGACTGCCCAGTGGTTTGCAGATTTTGCACAATAGAAATAATAAGCCATCGGCCGGGCGCGGTAGCTCAAGCCTGTAATCCCAGCACTTTGGGAGGCCGAGGCAGGTGGATCACGAGGTCAAGAGATCGAGACCGTCCTGGTCAACATGGTGAAACCCTGTCTCTACTAAACATACAAAAAATTAGCTGGGCATGGTGGCATGTGCCTGTAATCCCAGCTACTCAGGAGGCTGAGGCAGGAGAATTGCCTGAACCCAGGAGGCAGAGGTTGCAGTGAGCCGAGATCACGGCACTGCACTCCAGCCTGGGTAACAAGAGCAAAACTTCGTCTCAAAAAAAAAAAAAGAAATAATAAGCCATCTTTTGCCCCACATGAATTCTACTAAAATCAAAAATCCATGGCATACTCTTCAAAGTAACTGGTAAAAGGAAAAGTGTGGTAGGATATGTATGCATATTATGCCCTTCCCTTTAATTCTGAGCTCTTCTATTTTCCTTACATTTGAATCTGTATCTTAGAAGGGCAAAACGTAAGAAGAAGTAGTAGTATTCTAAATTTCAGTGACTTTAAATTCATTTATTTTGCCATTTAACCATTGTTGATCAATGTTTACTCGAAATTTCAGTGTGGGAGATTTTAAACACTTCTAGAGTTCCGTGTTACCCCATTTCCACAATGTTTTTATTCCTCCATGTGTTGCTGCAGTTTAATATTTGTCTGTTTGCTTTAATATGTTAAACTTGAGTTAAACATTGCATAGGACGTTAAAACTATTAGCAGCTACATGTTTCCCAAGATTGATGAAAATTCAGGTAACACTCCAACCTGTTAAAGATACCTGCAATCTGGCCAGGTGTGGTGGCTCACACCTGTAATCCCAGCACTTTGGGAGGCCAAGGCAGGCAGATCACCTGAGGTCACGAGTTCGAGACCACCTTGGCCAACACGTTGAAACCCATCTCTATTAAATATACAACAAAAAAAAATTAGCTGGGCGTGGTGGCACATGCCTGTAGTCCCAGCTACTGGGGAGGCTGAGGTGGGAGAATTGTTTGAACCTGTTGCCTCAGAGACAGAGCAAGACTCCATCTCAAAAAGAAAAACAAATAATATATATACATATATATATATGTGTGTGTGTGTGTGTGTGTGTGTGTGTGTGTGTGTATGTGTGTGTGTATTTTTTTCTAGAAAAATACATGTATCCTCATATATAGAGAGAGTAAGGGGTTGAAACCAGAAAAGACTAGAAATTACCTAGGTCAAATCCTTTAATTTATAGATTAGGAAATAGATTCTGGTTGACTTAGCTGAGATGTTCTCATTTGTTAAAAGCAAGATCAGAAATCAGACTCAATTCAACACTCTTCACTACACCTTGTTTTTATCTTTGTGGAAAACAAAGATGTATCTTGTTCAAAATTTTATGCTGTTTATCTGAAAGCCCAAAATACCTGTCTACATCATATTTTCCATTTTGCAATAGTAACTCATTTTGGGAATTATTTTCTGATGAAATCTCTAGGTTTAGTTGTACTTGAATCTCTTTTTTTCTGTACACACTGAAATATGCAGGTCAGTCTATAATAATTGATAGAAGTGCGGATTTTAAAGGTAGAGATGATCATTGTTTCTATTTTATGATCCTTTAAGTTAATGAAATTCGCCCAGAAAAAATAAACAAATTTAAATAAAGTTCTCACATTTTACCAGAAATCGTAGACTAGAAACTAGTCTTATTTGCTTATTTTATTCCAAAGCTTATTTTGCCTCTATTATTTTGTGATTTTATTAAATATTTCTGTGTATTCCTCCAAAGGACCTCTTGGAAAAGAAAGTAAATATCACATCTGCAAAATGGCTGGGCATTTTTTCATTATCTCTGCAAGGGGAGGGAACGGGAAAGGCAACCTCAACTAGAAACTCAACTCTCTTGCTTTTTTACAATGAATGAAGTTTTTCTACTGAACCATTGGAATGGTAATTCTTGCTACCTACTCACCTATTTCACATTAACAGAGTTCCAGGATTCATGCTTTAATATTGCATGATGGTCCATGTTTTGAACATGAGGAATGGCAGGGGAGATAACACTTTGATTCCTTGGATTTCATGTGGCACTGGATGGGAGCAAGACACTGATTTCAAGTTGAGATAAAAATGAGGTCAGTCAATGCCTGCAGCCAGACAGGACTCTTGTTATAGCTAGGGAGTATGTCTCAGTTGGATATACACATCTGCTGGGCAAGGACACTGCCATAAATCCTTAATGGCAGCAGTTGTACGGCATAAGAGAGCTGTGTATCAGCAGCTCACAACTTGACTTTGTTACACGTTATGAACACATTCCTGTGGGCACTCATTCATAGAAGTGAGAAATGTGGACATCACTGTCCCAGGCCTTTGTTACCATATGGCCTGGGAATATCGTGCTTTGCTGAAACATGATCCTAGCTCTGTTTTTAATAAGAAGTTTGATCTGGAAGCAAAATAGCCTGTTTCATGCATGTCTTTCTCACTTCTTTAAAACTTACTTCCTATAAGGGTGATCAAAAAACACATGTCAGGTGAGAGTTTTGCTTTGTATTAACTTCCTATTTGTAGAGACAATGACATAAACCTTGCCTGGTAATCATTATTTGTCATTCAGCCAAGGGCGTTTACTCTCAAGAAAGAAGTAATGGACAAAACTGACTTGGATTCTGGTTCTAGATTTCCCATTAATTGACTCTGGACATATACATGCAATTTAATCCATCTTACTAAAAACATGACCAACTCACAGGATGTAACTTCTATTCTGTAGAAAGGGCTTTCCCTCAGTAGTTAATCAAGGGAATGTTCCAAATGCCTGTCCTTATTGAGCTTATTTTCCAAAATAAATAAATTATTTTCTACTTTTTTTTTTTGACAGAGCAAAGCAGCATAAACAAATTAAGCAGCAAAACAATAGTGTATGTTTACCCAACTTTCTAGAAAATACCCATTTTTCTTAAGCTTCTGTATTGTTTTGCCAACAAGTAGTCAAAAAGAAGATAAAACTGGGTTAAGTTGGTAATGACACAATAAATAAATGAGACGAAAAAAAAGAGTCAATAAATATGAGTGGATGCCAACAAGAAACATGTTCGAGCCCTGACAAAATAAGAAAAGGCAGAAGTATTAATAATATGTTCTGCTCTCACATCACAACCTGCCCCCCAGATATATCCTATCTGTCCTGGCACCACATTGATGCTGTTGTTTTGTAAGCTATGCCAATGAATATGTTGGATGACCTACTTCAGCGCTACCTTGAGATTTCCACATAAGAAAAGGACCCAGGGATATCCTTGCTGAGGGCTTTATCCATTAGGTCATAAGTACTGATTAAGCCGCTCTTATGTACAAAATATTATTGCTTCAGATCAGTTTTTCCTATACTGCTGTCCTACAAGAGGGGAGGAATGTCCCTGCCCTCGTAAAGCCCTAGAAAACAGATCTGGAGATGGGTTCAACATCTTTATTATGTAATTATTTCATCCCAGTTGTAATGAGTATTTAGAAAGAAAAAAAACCAGAGTGCTAGGAGAGAATATGACAAAGAGACTTGACCTGGTTTAGTAGATCGGGAAAGTTTCCTGGGGAAGTGGTATTTTAGACAAACACATATACATACACCGGTGAATGAAAATGTGTGCAGAATGTATTGTAAGTAACTATGACAAAAGCATTTCTTACTATAGGTCATGGTCAAAGTTTGAAAACTATTGTTCTAACTAGTATTATCATTTCAAGGATAATAGGGGTCATGTGACCTGTTTAGCGCATGCCTGCCTTAGTGTCTAGTAGGCCAAGTAATGTATCTAACACCTGTAATCCCAGCACTTTGGGAAGCCAAGGCAGGCAAATGACTTCAGGCCAGGAGTTTGAGACCAACCTGGCCACCATGGTGAAATCCCATCTCTACTAAAAATACAAAAATTAGCTGGGTGTGGTGGTGGTACCTGTAGTCCCAGCTACTGGGGAGGCTGAGGCAGGAGAATTTCTTGAACCAAGGAGGCAGAGATTGCCGTGAGCTGAGATCATGCCACTGTACTCTGGCCTGGGCCACAGAGTGAAACTCTGTCTCAAAAAAAAAAAAAAATGCCAAGCAACTACCTGATAACACTGACCACCTTGGTTATCACTGAAGGCAGAAGGCCTTGCATTCATTGGAGGAGAATTAATAGTCTAAAACATTTGCGTGAAAATGTGCACAGAGCCCTCACCTGATAGTCAAAGCATGTTCCAACACTTCCCTTTGGATAAAACAAGGGTTACATCTCAGTGGAATCACTTGTGGATCAAGTTCTCAGGCTTCTGTAAAAAAAGAGGAGAGGGACAGCAAGAAATGGAAATCACATATAAGTGTGAGAATCTGTACTTTCCTAACCTATAAAACATTGAATGTAGTTTTTGCTATTGGTGCACATGGAGTCATGTGGCCTTGGAGCAGTTATGTACCTTTTCTGGTGATAGAGGAGAAGGCAAAGAAATTGGTGATTCAACTCTTTCATTGTGATTCCCCTAGTATATTACACTTACATCTAACTGCCCCATGTTGTATTGCCTTACTGCTATGGCTTGAATATTTGGGTCTCCCCAAAATTCATATGCTGAAACCTAATTCCACATGTGATGGTATTAGGAGGTAGGCCCCTTGAGAGGTGATTAGATCATGAGGGCAGAGCCCACATGAATGGGATTAGAACTCTTTTAAAAGAGACCCAGAGAGCTGCTTTGGCCTTTCTGCCATGTGAGAATATAACAAGAAGGTGCAATCTATGAACAAGAAAGCAAGCCCTCACCAAACACTGAATCTGCCAGCACCTTGGTCACAGACTTCGAAGCCTTCAGAACTGTGAGAAAAAAAACTTTGGTTGCCGGTAAGCCACCCAGTTTATGATTTTTGTTATAGCATTCCAAATGGACTAAAACATTCATTATATAGAAAATCTACTCCATTTAGAAGCCAGTATTCTTTTTTAAAAAATGTTCTAGAGATCTCTGCAGAAACATAAGAAGTGATCGTAGGGCCTGGCGCAGTGGCTTACGCCTGTAATCCCAGCACTTTGGGAGGCCAAGGTGGGTGGATCATCTGAGGTCAGGAGTTCGAGACCAACCAGGCCAACATGATGAAACCCCGTCTTTACTAAAAATACAAAAACTTAGCTGGGCATGGTGGTGGATGCCTATAATTGCAGCTAGTTGGGAGGGTGAGGCAGGAGAATCACTTGAACCCAGGAGGCAGAGGTTACTGTGACCTGAGATCAAACCATTGCACTCTAGCCTGGGAAACAAGAGTGAAACTCCATCTAAAAACAAAGTGGTAAGGTATTTGCTACATATATTAGTTATAAGTGGTTGTATTGCAGTACTATCAGGAGCTATGCCAAATATTCTTTACGTATTTCTGAAGCTACAGAAAACATCCTTCCCCTGCGGTCATTAGTACTTTTGCATTCAAATTTCAAATGAATCAGGATTTTAGAAATTATAGGCTCGGTGATTTCTCAGGCATTAACTCCAGAAAGCAGCTTTATACCGATCACCTACATTTACCCAGCACTTAGCCCATTAATTTCTAATGTTGCTAGGAACAAATGAACATTCCTGGAACACAAGCTAAATGAAAGAGCCCCGAAGAACACGGCATTTCCTGGCTCTTCATATTGACAAATTTAAAAGCCTGTGCTATAATATGGGCTCCTGTTTTCTCTCAGTGTGTCTTCAAATAAGTGGACAGAGTAGCTGAAAGCAGAGTATTTAAAGCTTTAAAACTACCACTTTATTTCAGTCTCTGTTCTTGCTGGGGCCACTTTTACAAATAGGAAATTAGAAAATCACTTAAAACTGTTTAATCATTAAACCCTCTTACCCCAAATATTTACCCCTCATTTTATTGACACACTGCCTCAAATTCCACCTGCTGTGAAATGATCTAAGTGAATCTAGGTCACGTGCAGCACTTAGATTCTTTTTGGGAAATAATGGAGAACCACAGAAGTGTTTGAAGTGGATGACAAATAGCTATCTCAAGCCACAGCTTCATGCCTCACAATGAAATCTTCCACAATTCCAACCATGTAGTTAACAAACATTTATTAGAAGGCAGACAAAAGTTAGCTTACAGCCTTTACTACAACTTTTATGAAGTGTAGGATTTTAGGTTTAAATTGACACCATTGAGAAACAGTATTCTCTTACATTTAGATTTGGCATCAGGTCACAAAAATTCTTCCTAAGCCAATGGTTGGACACAAGGCCATTGGAGACCAGACTTAAAATTAAAGGCCAGGTGCGGTGGCTCACGCCTGTAATCGCAGCACTTTGGGAGGCCGAGGCGGGCAGATCACAAGGTGAAGAGATCGAGACCATCCTGGCCAACATGGTGAAACCCCATTTCTACTAAAAATACAAAAATTAGTTAGGCCTTGTGGTGTGCACCTGTAGTTCCAGCTACTGGGGAGGCTGAGGCAGGAGAATTGCTTGAACCTAGGAGGCGGAGGTTGCAGTGAACCGAGATCGCACCACTGCACTCCAGCCTGGCGCCTGGTGACAGAATGAGACTCTGTCTCAGAAAAAAAAAAAAAAAGAAATGAAGAAAAAAGAAATTAAAAGCCCAGGCAAGGGGTTTTGCTGGATTCTTATATCCTGTTTATGCAATGTTAGGGGATGTCATGAAAATGTTTTAGTCAATCCACATATCTTGATTGTCTTAAATTTTACTAATGAGATCCTATTGGGATATTCTTTGCAGTCCACTATTTCCCTCAGCAAAAACACATTTGTGATATCCATTATGTGCATTATAAAAACCTCCAAGGTTCGTAGAGATATATGGTAGTAGCAGTCTCTGGCTTTGGCCTTTTTCATAAGATAAAGGCTGTGCTGTCCTAGAATATGAATTCCCAATTAAAATAACCATTTGCCTCAAGCCTCTAGAAGTGAAGCTTGCACTAACTGTACATATGAAATATCAAACTATGTTGAGATATTTAAAATTAATTACAGATATTGTAACACCATTATTTAAAATTCCATTAAGGGTCCTTTGAGTGTGCAAAATATTTCTTTGAGATGTGGTAACCCCTTTAATTGATCAGGAAATAAACCTTTATTATCAAATAACTATCCCATCTTGACAGCCCTAAAGGACAGGCTACACATCAGAATCACCTGGGGAGCTTATAAAACTCCTAAAACCCAGACTGTGCTTCAGACCAATTCAATCTCTGGGAGTGGGCTCCAAGCGTCAGCATTTGTTAAACCTCCCAAGAATTACAAAGTGTGGTTAAGTTTGCAAACCCCTGTAATAAGAGAATGAGAGGAGGGGTGGCTGTATGCCAAGCAGAACCAGGAATGAGGAAGGATATTGGTAAATAAAATTTATCCATAATCAACTTTTCATGAATCGCAGTCCTACTGAGACCCAGCCTTTTCTCACAAGACTTTGGCTATAATGAGTGAGAAAAATTCTCCTCCTAATTTACCAGACTCTTGACTAGAAGTAAGTGAGATTTTGGAAAAGAGACAAGTCACTTTCAAAAGACCCAAGCCTGCACCTGACCCTACCTCTGGACTCCATAGCAATGGCAGGTAGTGGCCATTCCTGGAGCAACTCTTTATTTCTTAAAGGAGCATTTGTGTAATGAACCTACAGCAATCTGGAAGACAGACTGGGGTAAACAGAGAATTTGTTGATTTTAGATGGCTGAATACTATCCGTGCAGAGCAATTAAAAGGATAGCTGTCAGAATCAAGTAAGAGAAGAAATAAGAGAAGTCTCATGTTGGTAGACCTTGTTTGATCAATGTGTTTTCATCTTGCATATGATTAATAAAGTAAGTTTGGGAGTTAGGATCAACCTTTGTTTACTCACTGGAGAATAACTACTTGCATATAGAATGAAGCTAGGATTATCCAGGCTGGTTTTTCTCTACTTGGAAGTTTGGATCCAATACAAGGAAACCTGAATTCCAAACTGTTTCTCCTAAAGCTTGCCTTTCTGAGCTGCTATTAAGGAATGCTTACTGTTTAGAAAATGGTAGCACAAAAGTATTATAACTAGAGTACACCTTGTGCCTGAAATTAATTACCCAATGTCTTAAACAATTCTTATCTTTTGCTGGTAGAAAACCTTTGAAACTGTATTTGTCTGTGATATTCACTGCAGCACTTTAGATATAAGGAGAGAAATTTTATTTTCAGAGGAATTTTGAGACAGTTTCTGTGTGTGTGTGCATGCATACTTACACATGTATTGGTTTTCCCCAAGGATTGCAAAAATCCCATTAAAATACCAGCTTCGTAAGGAGTTACTGAAACTCCAGTTTTTCATATTTTCTTTTATAGCATTTGGATGCATTTAGGTGAACTTGTAGCATTTTAATTATATCTGTATCAGATGAGCAGAAGAAATGTAAAAGGGTTTGGGGAGAGATTTAATTTTAGATAGTGGTGTAATTAACAGCATTTGGAAAAACTAGAGAACTTTAATTAAATGTCTGTACATTAATTTAGTCATTTAATTGAAAATGTATTGGGATAGTCCCTACAATTTATCACCCTTACTCTTTGAGGAAAAATGATTTTTGAATAACAAAGCATCAATGTGACTACTTTTTATTATTTAGCTGTATGTTCACTACTTGGCACTTTAATTTTTCCCTCCTATATGTTTTGAGGCTTTTAAAACATTAATTTGGCATGTCACTTTTATCTTAAAAGCCATAAATCTGGGACCTGGCACAGTGGCTCACTCTTGTAATACCAGCACTTTGAAAGGCCGAGGTGGGTGGATCATTTGAGGTCAGGAGTTCAAGACCAGCCTGACCAACATGACAAAACCCCATCTCTACTAAATTAAAAAAAATTAGCTGGACGTGCTGACACATGCCTGTGATCCAAGCTACCTGGGAGGCTGAGGCAGAAGAATTGCTCAAACCCGGGAGGTGGAGGTTACAGTGAGCCTAGATTGCACCACTGCACCCCAGCCTGGTCAACGGAGTGAAACTCCATCTCAAAAAAAAGAAAAAGAAAAAGAAAGAAAGAAAGAAAACTGTAAATCTGTGAGAAACCATATTTTGAAACATTGAGCAAATGTTTCTTTTCCTTTATTTTAGACTTTAATATTTGCTAGAGTCTTGTTGTAAAGTTTTCACCTTTATATCGTGGACTTTTTTTTTTTTTTTTTTTTTTTTTTTTTTACTTTGCCAGCTTAACTGGCTTTTTGAAAGTGATATTATGCTGGAGCAGTGTATCTGAATTTCAGCAATGCCTTTTACGTGACTGCTCACATTATCTTATTAAATTACATG